TCTTAGTGAACAGAACCATGAGCTAGAGAAGCGGACAGGAAACAAATGTTACAGGTTCTCTGATTAGGGAAAGATTTCTAAGGAATGTAGCAATCAGAAAATATTTCAGATGGAGTCTGAGCAAGAAGAGTAGTACACAGTAGAACAAACACCTGCCCTTCAGTATAGAATCATAGGTTTTGAAAGCTCCTTCTGTTTTGGTGTCTGACAGTTGTTAGAGCTGGTGGGTAAGTTCCTTAATTTTTCTGAAACGCAGTTCTGTATGAGAAGTACTCAGCTTTTCCTCTTAAATAAAGGAATAAAGGCACTGTGTTTTTATTTTGTTTCGTTTTTTTATTAGAGAATTCGATTATAATGTCACGTTATAATTTCTGAAACATTGCATTTTCACATATTTGGGTATATTTTGTGGCACAAATTAGAATGTAAGAGTGTAAGGTTAGAGACACTCTTAAGAAAATTTTATATGTTTGAATCCAGGGTCCAACAGAGCCAAATATCTTGCCTCAACACCATTCAAGGTCACTACACTAAGGAAGAGCAAAGGGACAGAGAGCTAATTTTGCTCCTTTTAGGACAATATTTTGATCTGCTTGCCAAAAAAAAATCTACTAATAAATCACCTCTATTATCCTTATACAAATATCATACAAAATTTGCAACTTGTTTTACCTCTCACACCTGATCTTGATCTTTTCTTTCTTCTCTTATTTTCTAAGTTCAACTTTGATGCAAATACGATTATCTAATATAATTTTCACATGCAGTTTTCTGAATAGTGTCTCTGATTCAATTACCTAAGACTTCTCGTCTTCTTTTTTTGCTGTTTTAGATGAAACAGTGCTCAGGATTATAGTTGATCTTATAAAGATCAAAAAGGAGACACAAATCTATATTTTTATTGTTCTCATTTTGAATGAAACATGAAAAGCCTAAGGACACAAATAAGGGAAAGTCATGGCAAATGAGAAAAAAATGTCTAATAATGAATGCAAACAAAATTTAATTTGCATTAATTGTACATCTTTGGTTCAGAGGATGTGAAATGTCATAGCTGTGGTCTCATTTAAGGGGAACATTAAGCTTTAAAAAACACATAGGGCGATTGACACTGGAAGACACTTGTTTTTATCTTTAAGTCTAATTACACTTTTATAGGATTTAAACTATCATTTAGTTATCTTCTTTATGCAATGTCTCATAAGAACTAATTGAGGCCAAGCATAGTAGAATTGACATTTATTTTCATTTTATCACTATTATTATTGCTATCATTATCTTCCTGTGGTAAGACATTGGCTCTTTGCATCCTTTAGAGGACACAGATTTAAATAGCCAGCTGAATGGGAAGAGATTAAGTCTCCTTTTAAGCCCTTGCTGGTGAATTGTATATGACTGCTTATGGGAATGATTAGATTCAGGTTATCAAAGTTTGGAATTCCAGTTAAATTAATTACGACTTTAATGTTTACAACACACATTTTAGGAAACACCGGTTTAAAAAATTTAACTTACAATGGTGAGCTCCACATTGGTATGTTTACCATTATGACAATTTTGCTCACTACAAGAAAAAGTGGAACCTGGATTTGCTCAACCAGATTCTTGCAGAGTAATAATAACAACCAGAGTCGGGCACCTGGGTGGCTCAGGAAGTTAAACACCGGATTGTGGGTTTCACTCTGGTCATGGTCTTGCGGTTCCTGGTTCTGTGGTTCGAATCAGACTCTGCTGACAGGGCAGAGCCTGCTTGGAACTCTCTCTCCCTCTCTCTCTGTCCCTCCTGTGTGTGCTCTCTCTGTCTCGCAAAATAAATAAACTTTAAAAAATTAAAAATATAATGATAATAACTACCACAGCAACGAATTACTATAACAGTCTGTATCAGGCACTAATCTAAGCATTTGACTTAAAATATTATTTCATTTTTACCACTATTAAGGTTTTCAGCACACAAGTAAGGAATACATGTTTCAAAGAGTTTTGAAAGCTTGTCAGTACACAGCCAGTTAATAAGTGTGCTGTTCTCATTCAAAACTAATTATTTATTTCCCCCAAATTTGTGAACCAGTGCCATTGTTACCCATATTTTCCAGATGTGGATAACTATGTTTAGAGAGTGAAGTGATTTTCTCAAGACTAACATGGATATCAAACTGCAGAACTAATGATGAACTCAAATTAATACATCAAAATAGAAAATCAGGGGCACGTGGGTGGCTCATTTGGTTAAGTGATCGACTTAATTTCAGCTCCGGTCATGATCTCACAGTTAGTGAGTTCAAGCCCCACATCGGGCTCTGCACTGATGGCACAAAGCCTGTTTGGGATTCTGTCTCTCCTTCTCTCTGCCCCTCACCTGCTTGTGCACTCTCGCTCTCTCAAAATAAATAAGTAAACTTTTAAAAAATAGAGAATCAAAGAAATAAACATCATTGAACTAACAGTCATGGAATAAAGGTCTAAAACATCAACATGATTTGCTATATGCATTAACTATATTAACATGTTCACGGCTTATACTTTAATAATTAAGTAACTAAAAACTTATTAATTCAGTTTTTAAAAGTCATATATTGCTCCATTGGTTAGCGGCAGCCCTCCAATATCTTGGTGATCATGCCAAATATCTTTTTTGCTTGTTATTCTTTGAGTTAGTGATCAACTAAAGTAACTGGGTTGACAGAGCTTGAAATGAAATGATATTGAATGTCCTGTATTGAAATATCCTGTATTGAAAGCATTTTCCCTCTGAAAACCCTCTAAACCTGCAGAATTCAGAATCCTGACTTTACATAACACAAATGCATCCTAGTGAGCCTCTGGGCAAGATAGTAAATAGAGCCATTCCTACTTACTCTCCCGAGTTCTCATATCCAAGTGGTCCACAGGTTACACAGAATAAACAAAACAATGTTTGTTTACTTAGAGTATACACTCATCATGGAGGATGAATCCTATCTTTACAGAGTTTGTTCAACAAGCTGGCATCTCATGGGGCCATTTCATTATTCTAACCAACTGTCAGCTTCTGAGTGGTGCAGCATGGAATAGGTCCAGTTGATCTCATGGGCATGTTCCCATGACTGTGTCTCCCTCTCCTTTTGTGTAAAGTGTCTCTATCGCTTGGTCCAGTATAATATAGCAAAGGCAAAACTACGAGGACAGAAAACATTTCAGTGGTTGACAGAGTTAAAAAGGGGAGGGAAGGGGGTAGAGGTTTTGCTACAAAGTGACAATATGAGGGGATTTCTTTGGAATGATGGCACTCTTCTATATCTTGATTATGGTGGAGGTAACACGATTGTACACATTTGTCAAAACACATAACACACACACACACACACACACACACACAAATACACACAGTTAATTTTACTATATGTATGCAAATTAGAAATTCAATTTTGTAAATGAATAAGTAATAAAAATTTTAGGACTTTTAATCATTCTCCTTTGTAAGGAGATAACTTCCTCCTGCCCCCCAAATCATGAGACAGCTCACTTCCTTAATGCTGATTACTGCATCTGTTTAAATAAATAGAATTTTGAGCTATTAATAATATCAGCTTAGAGAATGTCAACACTTAAATCTCTTTTCTATTCAGCATTTTTTAAATTGGTGGATCATCAGTGAATAAAGCGAACTATTCATTCTGCTCTATAATGATCCTGTTTTAATTACTTCGACTGTTTTCTACATGGCACTATTTCCTAAAATCTAAAAGATCACCAATATTTTTTGAACTTGAGACATTAAAAAAGGAGAATTATCTTTATAGCTCAGCTTTTACTCCTTTATTTTCATGCTTTCTTCTCAGAAATCTCTTAATACCTAGCCAATCTTCTACTTCTAATTAACCAATTATCACTACTTGTTCTTAAGGTAACTTTATGTTCTGCTAAAACTGCTAAATGTCTTTATTGACTGTCTCTGTTCCTATTTTTAAACTTTTTTTTTTAACTCTTTATAAACTTTGAGGCAGGAAAGAGAGACTGTATACCTTCCTCTCAAATCACTGTCATCGGTCACAGCCCTTGAATTCTGACCTGCCCAATATCTCCTATCAGCTTCTGGGGTTGGATAATATGAAAATTAAAAGATGCTAAAGAAAAAAGGCAAAGAAAAAGAAAAGATACAGGGAAAATAACATGCAATACACATTCAATAGAGTTCATTCATGTTCAAGTGAAGTCACGTAAGAAAGAATCAGGGATTGGGGCGCCTGGGTGGCGCAGTCGGTTGAGCGTCCGACTTCAGCCGGGTCACGATCTCGCGGTCTGTGAGTTCGAGCCCTGCCTCAGGCCCTGGGCTGATGGCTCGGAGCCTGGAGCCTGTTTCCGATTCTGTGTCTCCCTCTCTCTCTGCCCCTCCCCCGTTCATGCTCTGTCTCTCTCTGTCCCAAAAATAAATTTAAAAAGTTGAAAAAAAAAAAAAAAAGAAAGAATCAGGGATTGATTTCACTTTGACATCTGTTGCCTGAATTACAGATCTCTCTGAGGAATTTCATTTAAAATTCACTTTATCCTTATTATTCTCTAAACAATGCCTAGAGAAGGTGTTTTTCCAGATATTGGCTCTACCAAAACAAACTGCTTATTTGTAAAATAAACAGACCGCATATGATACCCTGTGCAAGTGAACATCAAATACCAAGACTCGTACACACGAGTGCAAAGTAGAGGATTTGGAGGATTTGGTTTGTTTTCTGACCTTCTCTGGTTTGAGGAGCACAGCTATAAATAGTTTCTCAGTGTTTTTTGTTTTTTTTTTTTCATTGAATTTTAGCAGAAAGTTACTGACGTAGTAACCTCAGCTGTGGTCTTCAGACCCATTCTACCAATGGCCAAACTAAACAGGCACTTTGACCACTTGATGTTGGGAGAAAAGAAGGGGAGGGAGAGAAGAGTCACAGGAGCAAAAAGAGGAAAGAAAAAAGACTGAAAAGCACTGCAGTGTGGTCTATCTACACTGATAAAGAAATGAGCATGGACTGAAATGATTATGAGTGATATTTATTTTCCTAAAACTTCATATTTTTAAAATTATATTCACATTAATTATTTTACTTGATGCTTCGGGATTCTTCTAAACCAAACAGACCAAGTAAAATTTCTGGCTTTTGTTTGATAAAACTGAGTCTCAGAGAAATCTCTCCACTTGGTTGGGCATCACTACTGGAATCCGTGTCCAATCTTCCAAGCTCAGATCTCTTTTCACAATACTCAGCAGCCTACAAACAAACACAAACCAGAAGTCCTTATCATTTTCTATCCATATTTCAGTTGCTTCTCATTTCCCTCTTTATTCCTAAAAGAACACCAATGTTCTTATTAAGAGCCACAAGTCTGGGGAGAGGGAATCCCTTAAAGATCCATTTGTTACACTGCTAGTCTCTGATTTCAAAGGCCAAAGTATAATACCTACCATTACATGGTTTCTTCCTCTCTTCATTTTTATTATTATCCTTCTCAAGTCTTTATTGTTAAAATGCCTGATACTTACTTGTATATCTTATCACATTCAGCAATTCTTTGTAGAATAAGGTATGATTATTCTTGATATTTTTCCTGAGCCTTATTGCTAAAGTATTGACTCTTTTCTGATGATGAAATGAGAGCTTCGTGGAATAAGACGATAATGATAAAATGCCTGAACTCCCCACTATGTCAGAAGCATCAGCCCCAATTTTAAGATCAGTCATTACAGCTCATCATGAGTGATTTCTATGCAGTTATTATTCTATTTGTTTAGTTTTATGAGACCCTTTGTTGAGGACTGTGTAATCTTCATTTCTGGATGTCATGTTGGACCTTTATGTGAGATAATGAAAAAGAAGTTCTGCTACCTGGATCAATGAAAATGTAAAAAGTTTCCATTACATCATTCTTCTGAGGAAATATTATTATTGATTACTGTGTAATCTATCTTCTGAGAGCATTAAAAATGATGAATTGTTTTGCTTTGCTTATACCCCAGAAGTCTTGACATTACCAGTTCTAACTTGCAGAATTTGCTACTTAGTAATGTCATTTGCATCAACAATTTTGAGCAAAACACACTCCACACACACACACACACATACACACATCCTTCTCATGACGTACCTGGATTTAGTTAGTCTTACTGAAGATACTGCGAAACATAGCATGTATATAACTTTTCTGTAACAGATACTATTACCAAACCAGGATATGTTTGTATGCAAAGTGACCTTTCCATAATTCAAAGACCAGTTCAAGTACTGAATGGTTTAAACCTTTCTCTGAATCCCTAGCTTCAGTTAGTGGCTCTCCGGTTTTTTTCTCATAGCTCTTTGTATATATTTTTACCTGGATATTATATATATATATGTAATATGTCTATCTACCTATCAATGAATCTGTCTACAGATATGCATATACATATATTATACATTTGAAAAAATCAGGTAATATTCTGATTTTCATTTTTAAATTAAAAAAAAATTTTTTTTTCAACGTTTATTTATTTTTGGGACAGAGAGAGACAGAGCATGAACGGGGGAGGGGCAGAGAGAGAGGGAGACACAGAATCGGAAACAGGCTCCAGGCTCCGAGCCATCAGCCCAGAGCCTGACGCGGGGCTCGAACTCACGGACCGCGAGATCGTGACCTGGCTGAAGTCTGACGCTTAACTGACTACACCACCCAGGCGCCCCTCTGATTTTCATTTTTTAGCTAATAATAAAATTTGTCAAAAGTACTTACTATTTCTTACACCTCTCCTACATTCATAACATCCATTTTAAAGTTGAATGTATTCCAACTGTGAAGAATAGAAAAAAACTAAAATACATAAATTTCTATTTAAAGGTATAATGATGTATCTGAAAAATATACTATATAGGAGACACTTCCATACCACATGAAATAAATAAAAGCACATGAGGAATAAAAATTCAAAAATTTTTGTAGTAAATATAGTTAATATTTTAGAAAGTCTTCTTTCCAATTTTGATTCAAGTTTTATCCATGTGTTAAATGTATTTACACACTGATCTCAATACAATAATGCATGTTGATTAATCTTTGTGATCCTTTCAGAATCCTGCCTGCCATCAGATGCCTATAGACATCAATGACACTCCTTTTTAATAATAGAAGAATAGCATCTTATGGAATAATTTAATTTCTTACTATCATGGAGCCCAAATGCACTTTTTTATAAATCATTTCTTAAATCTTTTTTAAAATTCTTCTTCCTGGAATATAAATGCCTTTCTCAACAGATGTAATTTATATTGTAAGATACCAAAATGAAAACCTCTAAAATAACTATGTCTAGATATACATTGTATATTATTTATATTGTACATTGTATATTATGTACATTACTTAATGTCACAACTTTAGTTAACCACTATGATTCTGTAAATCATGTTTCTAATGTGTGACTTTTAATACTAAAAGTTGAAATGAAGTTATAGGTGCATCATGAGATGTAGTAAAATTGAATTAAGGGGATCAAAATCACTTTCTAACTGTGATTTTGCTAACAAATGAACAAAAAAGTCTCCCAAATCTCCCCATGGTAAAGTTATATGTAATGCCAAAACAAATATGTCATCTCATGACATGTTCATAAGGAAGCCAGGGTACAAGTTTGTTTTAAAACTTTAAAAAATATATATTCCCATGGGGAGCCTGGAATGACTCAGTCGGTTGAGCATCCGATTTCGGCCCAGGTCATGATCTCGCAGCTTGTGAGTTCTGGGCTCTGTGCTGACAGCTCAGATCCTGGAGCCTGCTTCAGATTCTGTCTCTCTCTCTCTCTCTCTCTCTCTCCCTCCCCTGCTTGCACTCTGTCTCTCAAAAAATGAATAAATGCTAAAAAAAAATTTAAATATATATATATATATATATATATATTCCCTAAAGAATGTTATTTTTAAGTAATTATTTCCAGGTTAAAATACATTAATGCCCAAATCCATAAAATGCAACATACTCTGAATTTAATAAACTATTTAATTAACAATTCAATCTAACAGGATAGTTTGCTTTGTCAAGAACCGTGTACTTAAGCAGGAGTTACTTGCCCTCTATCAGGTGCCCTTTCTCCCCAAATACAGCCACGTGGTTTGGGAATTGGAGGGTACATAGTTGGATATCTTTTTTCCCCTGTAGGGGACTAAATGTGGAACAAAATAAATTGATATGCGACGCTTCCTTAAACTTGTCTGATCCAGTATCAGTCTGATATAAAAGGGAATGAAGGATAAGAGTAGTTCCCGAGAGAAAACTTACCATATGGAAAATAGGTCTCCTCAGGTAATCAAATTCAACTTTAGAGCCTGGGATATAGAAATCAAGTGTTGACTCTGCACAGCATGCAGCTAATGCAGAAAGAGCCTTCCCCACTAACAAGAATACAAATCCCCATCTGAGTATTAGTCCCACAATGAGGACTTGAGGAAGGTTAATTATAAAAAGCTAAATCACAAGGGACATCTCTGCTACCCTCACTGAGCATTATACCAAAAAGAGTATCATTCCTCATAGCAAAAGGAGCCATTTTGATCTGCATAAATAGGCACATAGAAGTGAGCATAATGAGTGAACCGCGGATTTGCAGGGGTAATGGTTTGTCTTCATCTGTTCTGAGAATGAAGCCAGAAAGATGAAGGAAAATGAAACCAGTCACTGTTTCGAGTCTTATCTAATCAGGACCTCTGATTTCCTGGAAGGCTATCTCAGGTGAACACAGGAAGGACTCATTCAATGACAGGTAGAGGTAACCCTGGAGACCCACAGAATTATTTTTGGAATAAACCTTTAGAAAAGGACCAAATTCCACACTAATTTAATAGGTAGAGTTTTACAGATATTTCTTTGATAATAATTAGTATTAGTAATCCTAGCAGTTAGGGCTAATTATGTACCAGCCATTCTTTTGAATCCTTTACATTAATGTGCCTTTCAACCTTCAAAATCAGTCCATGTAATAGATGGAAAATTGGGGTCCTGAGATATTAAATAAGGTGCCTAAGCATACACATTTAGTAACAGGTAGAATCGCTGTCAGAACTCAAGAAACTGGATTCTAAAACTTTACTTTTGAAACCAGTGCCCAGATAATAGATATTAAAGGAAATGGTCACTTACCAGGAGATAAGGTTAACAGTATCTGGGATATCTGCGTTTCAACTGAACCCCTCTTAAATACTTGAGTTTGTTTGAAGATTATTTAATTTATAACACACAATTTCTTATATCTTCCCTACTAGAAGTTTAGTCATTTTTACCAATGGAGCTTGAAAGACAAATCTCTTTTTTGATAAATAATCATCTTGCTTTCAGCATCTAAAACTTATTACCAGAAATACCTTCTGCCAGACAGACAAATAGTATTATTTCTTATCCCAATGCCATAGGGTATGATAGGCATTTTGATTGTTATTATTTTTTATTGTGTTTATTTCTGGAATTTTCTGCATCTTTGAGGTTACTATCCTTGTCATTAGCTGGAAGCTACAATATGAATTTTGCATTCAAATTTCTGTGTTTTTCCTTTGCATGCAAATATAATACTGCTTTCAAATGATAATATAATCTATTCACATTCTTATTGGAAGAACTCAAATATTAACACTTTGTTCTCTTTGAAGATGGTGAGCTGAGTTTTACACAGAAAACATTTCAATTGAATTGTTGGTTTGAGAGGAAATATTTTACATTTTGATGAAAGATACTTGACAATGCTTTTGTCAGATTAATGAGGCATAGCTGTATTTGTTTTTCAGAGCTTTATTTTGATACATGAACACATAGCTTTATTTTGATTAATGGATAAATTATTTTTAAGAATAAAAGTTTCTAAATTTCAGGTTTATATTTAAGATGGGTATAAACATGATTATATTGTTCCAACACATCCACTATCACTGTCTTTAAAAAGGATTTGGATTTATTTTTTTTTAAGTTTCTTTGTATTTTATTTATTTTGAGAGAGAGAGAGAGAGAGAGAGAGAGAGAGAGAGAGAGAGAGAAAGGGCATGTGCATGGGACAGGGGCAGAGAGAGGGAGAGAGAGAATCCAAGAGGCTCCACATGGTCAGTGCAGAGCCCGATGTGGTGCTTGATCTCACAAACCATAAGATCATGACTTGAGCTGATATCAAGAGTCAGATGCTTAACTGACTGAGCCACCAAGGTGCCCCAGGGAAGATTTGGATTTAAAAGTTGTGCTATTCCTCTTAATGCTCCTAAATTTT